ATATATATATAGATAGATAGATAGATATAAGTTTGATTGTTTGGGGAAAAGATAAAGAGATGGTTAAAAAAAAAAAACAAGATAGTAAAGTTGTTTGACCATTACGTTACTATCAACTTTCATTTTACTGGAATCCTTTCTTCTCCTTGGATAACCCCTGAAATAGTGCAGAAGGCCAAAAAAAGTAGAACAACCTAGATGTCTCAGAGGCATTTTTGGAAAAACAGAAAAATAAGGTAGTATATCCAAATTAGGATATCAGGGGACCAGAGCCTAGAAAAGTCCTCAATTCTTAAGGAAAAAGCACTAGCCTCAGATGCCTCTGCTACAGCTGTTCTAACTATAGAAGCCAGAAAAGGAAAAAAGAATAGATTTTTCCAAAGCACCAAAAGATTTCTCTATGGCTTTAAAACCCAAAAAGTTGGTTGGATCATAGCCAATTTTAGGTAAATCCTTTCTAAAATATTTGTAATCTGAAAAACATCTTTATTACAATTGATGTTTTTTAAATTGCTGGCATTTAAAGAAAGAAAAGCAAACTGACCATACTACTGAAATAAATCCATGAGAAACAAATCTTATTCCTTCAAATTTCTTGTGGGCTCTTTTCTTCATACTTTCTAAGAATTTTTACAATTACTTACACTAGTATTGTCTTTTTCTGGCCCCAGAAATGTACATTCATGGTAAAGAGAAGAATTAATTTCCTTATGTTGCTTTACTTTTGGGGGGGGGGGTACCGGAGATCGAACTCGGGACCTTGTACTTGTGTGGCAGGCACTGGAACCACTAAGCTAAATCCCTGGCCCTATGTTGCTTTACTTTAATATAGTACCTCTGAGTAAATTAGCATCAAACTCTATACTCTCTTAGAAATTCAACTACCTATCATATAATCCCAATTTAAGACTTTAAATGCAAATTAATTGTTTTCCTTAAAAAAAGTGGTCCATTTTAGTTTTCAATTTCTCCATAAAGAGTTCTATTTGGGGCAGAATTGTGACTCCCCCCCAAAAAATTCATCTGTAGAAATCTAAAGTCTTCAACTATAACAACAGTTGGAAATAAGGTCTTTAAATAGAAAATTAAGTTAAAATGTGAATGCTAGGGTGGACCCTAATCCAATGCAACTGATGTCAGGGATGCCAGGGATGCAAAGGCATAGAGAGGCCTCAGGAGAAAGTAATCCTGCCAGTACCAAGATCTTGGACTTCCAGTCCCTAGGACTGTGGGAAAATAAAATATCTATTGTTTAAGCCACCCAGTCTGTGTGTTTTGTCATAATTAATACAAGTACCATTTTCTCTCAGGTATTTCTAACTGAAAGCAGCATGAACTTAAATGATTTCTTCCTGTTCCAAACTGATTTCTTCCCCTACTAAACAACTGGTGAATGGCTAAAAATCTCTTTAAAAGCAACTTTCACATTTGTAAATTTCGGAACCATTAACACTTACCAAAGGATTCACACAACTACGAAAGATTATTAATAATATAGATGTTAATAGCTCTACCTTGTGATTAAGGGAAAAAGAAATGAAACTTCATAGAAGGTCTTGATGTTTTCAGCGAATGAGCATAATGCCACTGCTGATTTACTGGCCAAGAAAGCCAATGCGCATGTAAAGAATTCACCAGATAAACTGACCCTAACAAAATGGATACACCAGCAGTCAGGACATTTGGGCTCTGCTGCTATGCACAGTGTCTGTTGCTACTGTTTCTCACCAGTAGTGAAAAATAGACTCCTGGTAGTGTCCTTCACCCAGGAGGCCCCAAGCTTTCATTATGTTCAAGAAATTCAACAGTCTTCGTGTCACAAGATAACTTCACTTGCTCAGAAAATATTACCACTAACCTCAAACAATGTAACAATGTAGTTGGCTCTGAATCCTCTTTGGGCTGTATTCCGAGGACTACCCCTTATAAACATTACGGTACACTTCGGCCAGGGATTTAGCTCAGTGGTTCCACTGCCGGCATCCCAAGCACAAGGACCCAAGTTCGATCCCCGGTACCAAAAAACAAACAAACAAACAAAAAATATTATGGTACACTCAAGAGTTAAGATTGGTGCCTACCCAAGGACCAAAATTTCCACTCTATTGCAAAAAGGGAAAAAATGTGTTAAATCAATCTACTTCATCCAAACATCACTCATTCAGCATTAATCAATCACAGATTATGATACATCAAAATGCTTCTACAATTATCAACAGGGCTATATGGCTTGATAATGCAAGGTTAAGTATAGATAAACCTTCAAATCATACTCCACAAATTGTCAAATTACCGAAGTCCTGTACTAATGTGTCTATAGCTGCTAAAAACTATGTTATCCATTTTAATATAACCTTCCCTATAATAAAACCCTGTGCTAAGAGAAAGAGAGCTTGGTATGATACCCTCTTGGGGGGAGTAGGGACTAGCATGGGATTAGCTAATTCAATAGATTTGGAGGTATTGGAGAATAGATTAAAACATACTGGACAAGATATTTCACAAGTAGTAACAATTAATGCTCAGTGGTTACAAACTATTATTCAACCACATCAGAACACAATAGATTATCAAAAACAAATATTAAATATTTTTAATAGGACTAAAATTAATCAATTGAAAGTGGATATTAACCTAACTATATTAGCTAATTGGACTATATGCTCTATAAAACATTTATATGTATTAATTTTTAAAAACATAACAGGTTCCACTGCTCCCAGCCCAGAGGAAGGGGCTTCCGAGCCACCATTCCACCGCTCCTAGCCCAGAGGAAGGGGCTTCCGGGCCACTGTTACACCACTTCCAGCTCAGAGGAGGTGAGCCGCGCAGGCACTAACAGCACCCTCCCACCTCTGTCGAAATGAGAAGACACGTAAACAAGTCTAACAACCAAACTTCCAGATCACCTATGGTAATTCCAAAGGGAAATGAGATGGAACACTCTGATACTCCCACCTGAAATCCCTGAACTGGCAACAAAAGAGGATCCGGAAAAAATGAAATCAGAAATAATTTCTCAGATAACAGCAGAGATTGTGCTAGTAGTGCAAGACATGATTAATAAATCTAGAGAAGAACTGAGGAAAATGATGGAATCTCAACATAGGAAACAAAGGGAATCCATAAAACAGATGCAAACAGATTTCAAGGAGATCAAAAACTCCACTGAAAGTCTACACAGCAGAATAAGCCAATGTGAGGACAGAATTTCAGATATAGAAGATAAGATTGCTATTAGTGACCAGGAAAAGAAAAATTGCTTCAAAATGGTAAGGGAAAAAAAAAATCGTAAAGGACAATGAGAAATCAATCCAGCAGCTGCTAGATGATGCAAAGAAGAATAACATAAAACTGATTGGAAGGCTAGGGTTGTAGCTCAGTGGTTTTG